TTAAGCAGAGGGTGTAGGGAATCTCAGAAAGTAACATCTCCATTGAAGAACTTTTCTTTTTTCTTTTTAAATTTTGCCAGAGGGTGTGTGCGCTTAGAGAGACAGAAGGGGAGAGGAGAAGCATTCCCCACCTCAGTGGGGTATAGTTATACTGCAAACCTTTCTTTTCCATTTTGCCATGCTGTTAGGATTTTGGGCATACATACTCATGCCCCTGGTGTGTTTTTCTCGCCTTTTAAAAAATTGTTTACTGGGAACCAGCAGTTAGCGTAATGGCTATGTCGCTGGATTCCCACGTAGTCGACCGTGGTTCGTGTCCCGGACCCGGTGGCTTAAAACTCACGCCGGGCGCGTGTGCGTGCATGCCCAAGATCCCAGGAGGAGAATGGAGGAGAAGGGATTGCGGCGTGACCATCCCCCCTGGAGGGCGATTTCTCGCTTTCTGTCTCTATGTCTCTCTCTGTCTGTCTGGCGAGCGCACGCGCCCTACAGTGAAAATCTCTCCCCCCCCAAAAAAAAAATTGTTTACTATTATTATTATTCAGTTTGACCAGAGGAAAAGAGAGAGGGAGAGTGAGAAAGTGAGCTGCCAGGTCTGGGACTCGGAACTGCTGTCAGGTGCGTGGGAGTCCAGCACCTTTACCACCATTCCACCTGCTGGCCCCACCCCTGGTGTGTTTTTCAAGCCACTGGACCAGGATATGAACAGTAGTTGGTTATGTGGTTTTCACCTCCCTTAGCCACTAGGCTATGAGGCTGACTTGTGAATCTTTCTTTTAATTGAATTATTTTAGTTTATTGCCCAAACCTGAGATTTATACCATAATAATGATATGATACAGCAGCAACAACCGAAAAATGGTTCTTTTATTGAGGGATTTGTGTATGTCTGAGTAAAATAATGTTTAACGTGAAACAGAAAATAGTGATTCAACCCTGGTTTTAATTTAGAGGAAAAATATTAAGATTGTAGTGGTTTCGCTTCTGATTATCTAACCCAAGTTTATATGAAAAGTGAACATAGTGAAATCTAGTGGAAAAAGTTATTTAGCTTAATTTACTTCCCTACTTTTGTGTTAAATGATTTTATAAGTATTCCTGTGTTTAAATTAATGGACATAGTTTTACTTTGGAATATCATGCTGGAGATACACAGGATGTGTCACGTCTATAAATGTATTCTTTAAAATTACTGTACCTTGGGACCAGCAGTTAGCTTAATGGCTTTGTCGCTGAACTCCCATGTAGCTGACTGCGGTTCGAGTCCCGGACCCGGTGGCTTGGCGCGTGTGTGTGCGTGCCCAAGATCCGGAGAGGAGAATGGAGGAGAAGGGATTGAAGCATGGCCATCCCCACTGGGGAGTGATTTCTC